TGAGTGAGTCAGTGAGTGAGTGAGTGAGTGAGTGAGTGAGTGAGTGAGTGAGTGAGTATTTGAGCGCGTGAGTGTTTGAGTTTGTGAGTAGAGTGGAGTAGAGTAGGGTGGAGTGGAGTAGAGCGAAGTGGAGTAGAGTAGTCTAGAGTAGAATGAGCGAGTAGAGTGAGTGAGCATTCATATTTTATTTCAATCTTCAAGCTAGTAGGTAGCGGGCAGAGCGCGTTCTGGTGCGTGGCTTCTATCAAGTTTTCTCGCGCAGAATTTCCTCTTTAAACTCAATTATTATTTCCCCAATGCTTTTGGGGGCTGGGTGGAGTTTGCCGGCAGCTTTTCTCGAAGGATCGCTTGGGAAGCATGCGTGTCAAACGGACGCAGTTGCCGTGCCCCTTTCTGGACCCACAGTTTCTTCTCCGGGTTCCGTTTTGTAAATGTCTTTCTGGTTTCATTTCAACCTGTGCTAGTAGGACGGGGTGGCGCACATCTACAGCCTGGCCAACCTGCGACTTGCCGGCGCCATCAACATTCCCAAGGCCTTGCCAGAAGGCCTTGCTGCGCCGGGCGGGTGGCAGGGGAACGCGTCGGGCTTGGAGGGCGGCTATTTGTTTCATATTTCCCGTTGCAGACACTCAATGTTTCTGATGTTGTGCCCTTCATCAATTTCTTTCGTTGCAGTCTCTCCTGCAACTGGTGCTAGCAGATCCCGCCGAGCGCCTGGCAGGCGACTCACAGCACGTGGCGCTGCGCCATGTGAGGCCGGGTGAAACCTGTGGCCAACCCAAGGGCCAACCCAAAACCTGGCTTGGCTTGGGCCCCATAGCTATCGCTTTTGCGGGGCCGGTGGCTCTTGGTCGTTTTACTTGATAGTGGATTGATGGTGGACAATATTGGACAATGGTACAACTCTTGCTGGGGAATTTGCAGGATGGCGCGTTGCGCGGCAGAGCCAAAACTGCCAGTCACGCTCGGCCCACGGATGCTCAATGCCACGGGAGGTTTCAGCTTTCGCTTGAAGTCAAGGAGAGTAAAATGCTTGGGAGTGGCAGAATGTCTCCTGAATTAGCTTTGTACTTGCGGCTGACATGCGCTCACATGCTCGTTTCTGGCCGAGGCTGGTGACCATTGACCGGCACTCCAAAATCAGACTCTGGGGTCTGAAGGTCCACGCCAGAGGGCCTAGCAAACGCAGGAGCAATGTGCCGCACTTCTCGGCACACGTGAGTGAAAGCGTTTGAATCGTTGTGACTGACACGGTCCGCGGGACCACTCGGCATGACCGGCCTGGAATCCCGTAGCAGACACAGTGGGCAGCGGGAGACTGCCACTGCCACTGCTGATGCTCTTGCCTTCGCTCTGTCGTTCTGCTTTTGTTCTGTCTTTGTTCTGTTGTTCTGGTTCCGGTTGTGGTTGTTGTTCTGGTCATGGTAGTTGTCCTGCTTGTTGGCGGCGGCGTTAGTGTTGGTGTTTGTGTTCGCAGCGGATTAAGAATCATTGGAAAGCGTTCTCTGCCACTGCTGTTGGCTGCGCAAATCTGGAAGGACAACAAATCTGTGCAGAAAAACTCATAGGTGACATGAAAGCAAACAAACACCTTGCGCGTCAACTTTGGATATGGCCAGGATGATGGTGTTTTCTTGTTTGTTGAAGACAGCTTATTTTCTGCGGGAGCATGTTTGCGCGCAGGGTTCCAAACTGTGTAGTGCTTAGGCTTGCGATTGGAGGGGGGGTGGTCGGAACGGGCAAAGTAAAACATGCCCCGCGTAGTTGTGTCGCGGACGCATCGTGACGTGAGTGACCGTGGAAGCTACCCTTGTGCTCGCACAAGCTCGCTTCAGCTCACGTAAGCGCCGCAGCGCAACGGTTTCCTTGCCACCTGAACTTGAACAGGAGCCGCTCAATCGTTTTCGCGTTGCCAAACCGTTTCACCATGATTTGGGAGGCGAAGACTGTTTTTTGTGAGCTGTTGCTGGGCGCTTTCCAGACAGGGTTCGCCCTTCACGCTACATGTTTGCAGAAGGCACGTGGCTGGAGAGTAGACAGCCTCACGTTTCAGTGGATAGCGCGCTGCACGTGGCGTTTCTGCCTCATGAGTGGAGCCAGTGAGCCTTGAGTTATGTGGGGCTTTGGCAAACACAAGAAAAATAAAGGCATATGGTCAGCCAGACTCCCGGCGCAGCTCCTCCCACGCTTGTTTCCAATCGTTACTTTTTCAAGATAGGAATACGCGGCAGCAACACGTTACGCACAGGCAAGGAATATTGATTGTTTCTCTTATAGGCCGACAGGTTTCAAATCTTGCAACCCTGGGCATTGGAAGGGTAGCGTCCTCATAATTAGACTTGAAGCTTCACCGCTCCAGTCCTCTCGTCTTGCCCCTCACAGTGAGACTGACGGCGCCAATCAAACATCTTCGGGCCGCTTGCCACACCCCGCCTTGCTTCGGGCTGATGGCTTCGCGAGACTCAGGAGAACTATACTTTGGAGGGTTCCCGGGTCAATAAGCAGTATGTTGCTGTGAATAGTTCGGACCGTATTGCTGAGTGGATATCGTTGAACAGACTTGCTTTGCTTTTCACGCATGGGCGCCTGAGGACGAAAACTTGCTTTGATTTTGTTGCGGGCGTGTCAAGGTCTTTTGCCCCTGCGCAGGCTTGGGGCCCTCACTCTGAAAATCTGACTCAAGCGGTCAAACAGCACCTGTCTCCTCGGTCGCTTGAAGGCAACGGTTGCAGTTGGCTTCGCAACATGTTGAGTATATCTTTTGCAAGGTAATCTGGAGGAGATGGGATGATCTCTGGCTTTCGGTTTGACTCGTTTGTTTGCTTAGCTTGGTCTTTTGACATGTTCACACCTGTGCCAAAGCGCACTTCTCCCGAAGAGACTCGATGGCCGTGATCTATGTAAGGAGCTTCGCCCATGACACGTGTGCTGTTTTTTTTTTGCAGTGCAGTTACCTAGTTTGTGGATGTTTGTGGGTTGTATTGGTTCTGCAGCAGACACTGTCATCATTATCCTGGGGTGGGGCAATCGCGTGTTTGGGCGCTTGAAAGGTTTGGCTGGGCAGTTCTCAACAGCACCTAGGTGCAAAGCGGCAAGCTAGATCAGCTGAAGCTTTTGCCATGGCCTCAGAACGTTCTGTCCTTCGCTGCAACGGTTGGCTTCAAGAATTACTTTGTTCGGGGGACTCTTCTTCTACTTCTTTACAGGCGCTTGGTGTGTGTGTGTGTGTGCGTGTTGCAAGTGTTCATCAGTTGCAGTCGTCCGGTTGGCGCAGGCAATGATTGGTGCTGATTGGCGTTGGTTGGTTGATGATGTTTGCTGACGGCGGTGGTTGTTGGTGGTGGTTGGTAGTGCAGTCAGTATGGCTGCCGCCTCCCTGCCACTGCCATCATTGCAATCAGGTTGATTTGCGGACTGTGGCTTGTGTTGGTGGTTGTTGTTTGTACCGTTGTGCCGGTTGGTATTGTTTGATGTGACCCCATGTCAGGAGAGGCTGTTGTGTGTGTGGTTGTGTCTGCAGCCTTGTCCATTTCAATTGTTTTCGTGCTGGTGTTGGTTGAGGCTTGAAGGCTGATGTTTTGCCTGAGCTACCGCTACCGCCAAAAGGGTGGGCGCAAGGGATACGTATTGGAGTGGAAGGGTAACAACTTGCTAAACGAAGGCGAGTCTTTAAAACAAAAGATGCTTGTTGCACATATGGCGGCTTTCGCTGCGTGAGCAGATCTTTGAACAAAGGCAAGTTGTTTTGTGAACTTTGCTGCGCTGCTCCGCCGTGCACCTGCCCAAGCAAGTTCGAGTGTTTTGTGAACTCTGCTCTTTTGACTTGCGACACATGAGAAGCAAGCGGACGACTATGGGAAGACTACAAGATTACATTACATGATCAAAAGCAAACGCTTCAAAAGCCGAGAACTCAGAAGTATTCCAGTTTGGCACACAAGGGTTGGGCCGCATCTCGCGTGTTATCCGAGCAGCTCCGCCTGGCTCTTGTTCATTTGGGGCTTGCCTTGGGCGCCTGTGGACTCTCCAGGTTTCTATGTCACAGCGTTTAAAACCTGTGACACGTCCACCTGTTTTCCAAGCATCGGTAGACACTCTTGCAACAAAGGCCTCAGTTTTTGACATGCCTTCGTAGCTCAGCTCATTGCCTTAGGCTGGACGCAGGGCAACTGCGGGAGTGCGATTGCATTCCCGCAGGCTGGTACGGCCGGGATTCCCAGACATTGCTGGACACATTACATCAACCTTGGAACCTGGCTCAAACTAACTGTAAACGCTTCGCGTTGCCCGCCTCGGCCAGAATGCTTTTCCTTGAAGTGTTGTGTTTGTCTGAGTGAGCAAGTCGGCCCCGACACGCGCGAGCTGGAGATAGAGGGTGGGTAGATAGAATGAGAGCCGTGGACTGGTGCCAAGCAAAGCCTGAAGGGGATACGCAACGAATTTGGCCGGGTTTTTCGGGGAAGCTTAACTTGTTTCTATTGACCGGTTTTTGGAGAGGTGGTTTCTAGATGGGGGTTTGCCTGGAGGGGATTTCGACATTGCTGCCAGAGAAAAAAGGAGATTTGTAGAGGGGGCATAGAGGGGGTTTGACTGTCTTCTAGAGGGGGATATACTGCACTTTGGAGGGGGTTCGGCTGGCTTCCAGAGAGGAATTTGACCGGTGTTTCAAGGGGATTTAAGTGCGACTGGTTCCTCAATTCACGGCTGCATCTGGATTGGTGTTGCAAGCCTCGTTTGTACACATTGTGATACTGAACTAGGTTATCAGCACTTGTATGCACACGTGTTCACAACCTGGATCTATGGGGGCAGTTTCGGAGGCGGAAGCATTTTCTGGTATGGAAGCCTGCCAGCCAACATCCGAGAATGTGACTGTGCGGGAACAGGCAGCAACCAGCATTGGCCAGGTTGCCCTACCCTTCACCAAACGACAGTCAATTCTAGGCCCACGCCTTACGACAGCTCAGGCCGGCTGAAGGAGAAGCGGGATGCGGAGGCAA